AGCACTCCGGTACAATCTGAGGATCTGAGAGGAGACGAGCCAAGCTCTCAAAATCCTCCTCCTTGTACTGCTCAGCCTCAGCTGGTGGGTCTGTCTGCTCTTCGGCAACTTCATCCCCAGACAACTGAAGATCAAAAAAGATTTCAAAGCCAGGCAAGCGCCACTTCTCTACATTGAACCATGGCTCTGGGAAACCGTAGAACGGGAAATCTTCCCCCTCCCAGACAAAGCATCCGTTCAGGGTCCCCTGGATAGGTTGGTGCACCAACTCATAATGCTTATCGGCTTGCTTTGCCCTGGCTTTTCCGACCATCTCTCTTCCTTTCCTCACCCAATCTTCTTTGGTAGGCAGATAACCTAAGCTAAAGGTATATGGGTTGTGCGGCACTTCGGCCGATGCTGCAATGCCCTTCCGGTCACTTCCCCCCAATCCTATCCCGGGCATATGCTGATGCTTGTTCATAAGGTAGACAGACTGTGCACTGATGTATAGCCCCTCATCAACAGCTAGCATATTTTATACAACCCGGGCCTCAGCTAGGGTGAATCTTGACAAAAATACATCTTTCGTTCCATGCTCAATCTCCAAAATTGATGTAGAAACCTCTGGTGGTGGATTTATTGAAAAATTCCCAAAAATGATCGCCACCCCTTTCCCGTGGGGGTACTTCAACATTTGGTGTAAAGTGGAAGAGATGGCTTTCACCTGGTGCAGCCACGGCCGCCCAAGGAGTAGATTGAAGGTTGCGGAAACATCCAAGACATGAAACTCAATGTCCTGTTGCCTCGGACCAACCTGAGTCTTAATCCATACAGTCTCCATCACCTCCCAACTGGTATTATCGTAGGCCCGAATCACCTGGGCCATAGGAACGAAATTTGCGGGCTTCAACCTGATAGCATACGCCGTTCTTGACGGACATACATTGATTGCGAACCCCGTGTCAACCAGGACCACCGGTATCCATTTCTCTCTACACTCCATAGAGATGTAGAGTGGTTTGTTATGATCTGAGCCCTCAGGCCGTAGTTCTTTGTCGGTGAAGGTCAAGGTCGAGGAAGCTCGTCCCGGGAAAACCAGCCCTACCAACTGTTCAGGTGTGGTATCAATTGAAAGCTTGGCCCTATCGATGGCTGTAAGGATGGCCTGTCTATGAACCCTCGAAGCCATAAGCAATCCCCAGATGGAGATGTCCGCTTAAATTTTCTTCAGTTGTTTCAGTACAGCCTCCTCTTGCAGCAGTTTTTCTTTCTGCCTCTCTGCTTCTTTGTCCTTCCCGAACGCCTCCGGCTGGTCCAAGTGTAAGGGCTTGAAATACCGCCCACTTCTGGTTAGATGGTCAACCTTCTCAATATACCAGGTGTCATCTGGTTGGTTCTACCCCCAATCCTCATCGGTGTGGGCAAGACGTAAGTCGTCGTCTTCCCACCACATACCATTGGCAACCGACAGATAGCTGTCTGGTCCCGTTGCAACTGTTTCTGTGCTCACAGCACATTTCGTCCCCGCAGGGGTTTTGGCCTTCCTAGCCCTCTCAAGATCCTCGATCTTTTCTTGCTCAAGGTGCTTCAATGCAACCTCTTGTTTAGTATCTACATTACTCAAACTGCCCGGATCCTGAGCAAAATTCTTAGCACCGGTGCTCTCTGGTGATTTCTCCTAATTCTCGGCCATTTCGGCCACTGCTGATATTCCGGCTTCTGATTGCCCCTGTTCTGGCTGAGATTCTTCAACAACATCTGGCTAGTCACTGAGCCACCTCATATTCTCTGCCGATCCATCCAAGTCAGACCAGTTGATGTTCACATCCCCTGAGTCCTGCTCGTTAAAGAACTATAGATTGGCAATGTCCTCTTCCAGCTCTACTAGGTCATCTAACCCCTGACTTGGTCCATCTTCCCGGACCACACTAATTTCTGCCCCAGCTGGCAACTCTACCCTCAGCTTAACCTGATTTGTTGATGTGATACAACCACTCGGGTTGTACACAAAGCTCCAGACCCCTCAGGCTCTGAATCAACATTCTCATCTGCCTCCAAAGTCATCTCGGTTCTGTCTTCGACAGTCACCACCACCGATTCAGGTTGGGTTTGGGAGATGTTCAATATGCACAAGTCCGTGCTGTCTGGGATGAACATCTCAGGCTTGGGTAGGTAGGTGGTTGTGATGTATATGCTTGGGTCATATGGAATGGTCACGGTTTGGATCAGGTTGATGTGTTTGGGTGGAGGAGCTTGGTTATGTGGTGGGAGTGGGTTGGTAGTGACATTAGGTTTGTTGGGGGGTGCAATCACCTTGTTGTCAATGAGATCTTGAATCTCATGACATAGTCGAAAGAAGAAGTCGGTGTCGTGACCTTGTTGTTGATGGAATGCACAGTATTTAGTCGGGTCATGCTTTGAAGGAAGAGGATCGGGTAAAGGTCGTTGTTCTAACGGTTTCACATGTCCTTTCCTGAGTAGGATCCCTAGAGCTTTAGACAAAGGCATATACAGTGGGGTGAAAACCCTCTTGCCTTGGGGTCGATATTTGGCTATTTGTGAGCTGGTACCGGATGCACCGGTGAAGAGTGTAGCTGTAAGTGTTTTTTGGAGTGGTGGTGGTGACCATACCCACATCGGAAGTTCTGGCAGCTGAGCACTACTCGTGCCTGCATTTGAACTACGTGTAAATGCCCGCTTGGGCTGTTCCCTGTCTTGGTCGATCAGACCCTGCTTCATGGCATCCTCAATCTGTACCCCAATCTCGTGTAAGTCCGCAAAGGTGGGAAGGGGTAAGACGATTATCTTTTTCATCAGCTTGGGTTGGAGATTGCACACAACCATCCTTATCTGATCCTTCTCGAGTGGTCGAGTTATCATCATGGAGGCCTTAGCCCTCCATCGAGTAACAAAATCAGAAAAGCCTTCCTTCAGCTCCTGCCTGGTTGTCTCAGGATAACGAGTCGTGACCTTGATCTGAGTATTGTATGAGTATTGAGCAACGAAGGCCTCAGCCATTTCCTTCCAGCTCCTTTTCACTGAGTCCTCCAGCTTGGCATACCAAATGGCCGCAATACCCAACAGGGTCCGGCTGAAGAATGATAGTTTCTGGAGTCTCATCAAGCCCATCGGGCGCAAAATATTTGAGAATAGCCTCAGATGAACCATTGGATCGCCAGAACCGTCAAAGCGGTCTATATGCGACATCTTGAGTCTGTCCGGCAATGTTACCGCCGAATCAGTGTAACCATCCTCTATGTCTGGAATGGAATTGACCCTCTAGACCCATTTAAACAGCTTTTCAAGCTTACTCATCTTCAGAGCGGTTGGATCCATCTAAGATTCAAACGGTGTATCTATTGAGAAGGCCGGTGTCTTTGAAGTCTATGGTAGAACTGGAGGCAGGACTGGTCCTATTGGAGCGTCTGTATCTTCCTGGACGTTTGCAGTATCCCCGAGTGTTGGAACTCTAGGTGGGGGTTGTAGACACCCCATTTTCGACCGACCTTAAGACTCAGACGTCATCGATTGAGCGCTCGGTGATGGTGCATGTTGTGTTCATTTAGAGGTTTCAGAGTTTTGACTGACGGCCTTGCCTCCGGGCCTCTGAATTCTTTTGTGCTTCGGTTCGGTTTGTGGACCGAACTTTGTTTCTCTTCCCTGGAGGGAGGGAGAGGACTTGTAGACCATCTCTTTGTGGTCGTAGGCCACTTTTCTCGTTTGGAGACTAGTTTCCGATTTTTGGAGCCTTCGGTCGCGCGCCTTGTCTCGAGTCCGCTTAACGTTCTCCATTTGGCGTGGTTTTGAACTATACCTTGTTGCCTCTGCCTAGAGGAACACTGTGGTCCGGGAGACCACTTTTGCGGTGGCATACCACTTTTGATGCCCGTAGACTAGTTTTCTAGGTTTTCGGCTGCGTGCTTTGCCTCCCGATCTCTCGTCATGCATCCGTTTTAGTTTGTTTTTTATACAAACCTTGTTTTCCTTGTTTGAAAAGTGGTACAAGTGTGGGAGACCACTTTCTCTCCTTGGAGACCACTTTTCCTTCTACCAGCCAGTTTTCTGGTGGGATAACTGGCTTGCTTGGTCTTTGGGCCACATTTTTTGGTCGACCACCACACCACTAGCTTTCTTTCATGCCCTGGACTCTCTCCCACCATGGCCGACCAGTTTGTGTCTTGGAAGACCACTTGAAGTGGTCGGCCGACCACTTTAAGTAGCAGGCCAACTGCTTTTTGGCACCTTTTCGGAGATATTTTCCTCCAGCTGGAGGGCATATGGGTTATCTTCCATACACGTGTATGGAGGGATTTGTTTGAGGCTTAGCTTCTCCAAGAAGCTTTGCCTTTTAGATTCTATAAGAGGGAGGCTCCTCACTACTACAAATACAAACAAAGATCACACTTTTTTTGTGTGATGTATGTTTTTTAATCACACATTTTAAGTTTTATTAAAGTGTCGTCTTTGGAAGTGTGATTAAAAAGGGTCATTTTTAATCACACTTTTTAAGTATGATTAAAAAATGATTTCATCACATCTTTTAAGTGTGATTAAAAACATTTAAATCACATCTTTTAAGTATGATTAAAAACAATTATATCACATTTTTTAAGTGATTAAAAACATTTAGATCACATCTTTTAAGTGTGATTAAAAATATTTAGATCACATCTTTTAAGTGTGATCAAAAACATTTTAGATCACATCTTTTAAGTGTGATTAAAAACATTTAATAACATTTAGATCACATCTTTTAAGTGTGATTAATAACTAATAAAACTTGTGATAAAAAAAAATTCGACATATTTGAAAAATAATCAATATTATTTTTGTACGCGCATTTAAAGAATGTAATACACACTATATACTATATTTTGAATCACAATCATATATTGAATGGAATAATGTCCTATATTTCATAAATAAAAATATATACAAAAGAATTAATAAAAAGTTTTTAACTGTGATTACATATATTAAAAAATGAAAAAAAAAAAACTTGAAAAAACTAAGTTCTTGAATTCTTTGACCATATTTTGCATCTCTCCAGAAAATTTCTGACCTGAAAAATAAAAACACAAATTAATTCATAAACCACTAAAAGCATATGAATAAACTTACTATTTTTGTAGAGACTGTTCTTGTCTTATAAAAGACAAAATCAGACATTTTCTCATCACACTGACTCTTCATCTCCTGTATCAATAGAAAAGGAATAACGACTTTGATTGTTACTAGTATAAAATGTCTGTATTACCAAATATAAATATAACATATACATAGAATCAATAAATCCAAAATGAAAATCTTCAATGTATGGCCATATATTTTAAAGTCATAAAACCAAATATATATAGAATCAACAAATCTAAAATTATAAACCAAACATAACAAAAAGAGTCCCCCCCCCCTCCTTCATTTCTCACCAAATCACTCTAAACAGAGTGTTTCTGGCAGATAAGAACTCAACTTAACTCGATTCCATTGATTCATAATCCAACTGTAGGAGAGGGTTCAAGAAAGTAGTTGGAAAATTCGAAAATCTTCGAAGATCCTTGAAGAACAACTTTGAATTCTCTAGAAGACAATGAGAGGCTTAGATTCTTCAATAGTCTCAACTTAAGAACACAAGAGTAAAGGAGATGATGGAGATAAGAGATTGGGTGAAGAAGAAAGCAAAATGGCTAGAGAGAGAATAATGGCAAGGCTTTCCTATAGATCTCTCACTTTCACTCTCAAGGTTGATAATGGAGAAGGGAAATTACTTCTTTCCCAAGAGTTAATTCTCCAAAATCCATCCCTTATAAAGCTATGGGTGGGTGCTATTTATAGGCACCTCATGATGTAGGATGGAGCCCATGTGCAAGGCACATGGGGAATATTTTCTCTAACCACCTTGTCCGAGGAGGTGACCTCTCCGAGGATGAGGAAAACCCCGAAGAGGAGATCAACCTCTCGGCGAACCCTTCTTCTTAGCCACACCTAACCAATGATCCCCAATCATCCCAAAGGGTCAGGGGTAGTCCCAGAGGACGTCCTGCCGCATAAGGGTCAGGGGTAGTTCAAGAGAACGCCCTGCCAAAATATTGCCGAGTCTCATGGACCCCCCGGGGTCGTGCCACCTCGACCCGGGTATAGGCTAGTTTAACCGAAGAGTGAATTTATCTCCACTCACCGTCCTCGGGATTGGGTCCTTTGTTCGAACTCCATTACGTCCATGGTTCTGGTGCGTAGATCCCGGAAAGCTCCGAGCCCGCAAGTGTTCTGGGACTCATTAACAGAGCGACTTCTAGATTACGTCTGAATCTGTTCGAAGTCAAGTGCTTCGGATCTCTAGGTTCGTGGATCTGAACCCTTTCGAGTCCGAGTGCCTCAGATCTCTAGGCTTGCTCAATACCCTTTCGAGTCCGGGCCCGAGTAGGTCTCTAAGTTCGTGGATCCGAACCCTTTCGAGGCTTAGAACGATTCGGCCCGTTTGATGGCGATAAATCTAGGCCCACCAATCTTGGACTTGCGATAAATTCGAGCCCACCGATCTTGGACTATTGGGCTTAAATAATTTAGTGGGCTTAAATTAGCTCCTCTTACATTTTCCCCTTGCGTGTATGAGAAATTTTAAATTTCTCGAACATGCATACTGCATTTCTTCGGCCCTGCTTCACATCACGTCCAAAAAAAAAAAAATGTTGTCTTGACAGAGCCTATGGATAAAGTTGATGACGCACTGTAATTTACGAATAAGATTAACAAGAAAAAAAAAAAATTTAACCAAAGAATAAGAAAGTATTTTTTATTAAATACTTTTTTTTAACCAAAGAATAATAAAGTATTTTTTAGAAGACAAGGCTCACATGCGTTTGTTTGTTTGTTTGTTTGTGTTTTTTTTTTTTTTTTTTTTTTTTTTTTTTTTTGACAAACACGGCATACACATATTTAGAATATTCTAACAGTATATTCAAAAGATAAAGCTCCATTTTTTTTTCTATTTAAGGACAGGTGTAAAACCCTAATCAATAGCCCCTTCACCTTTTCTTCCTTGCACAGCCATTGCGGCGCTTTTTTTTTTCTCTAAACCCAGAGACCACCCCAGGTAGCCTTGTTTCTTCAACAAACCAAAGGCTAAAAGTGTGCACACTGACTGCCATCACAGCCCCGACCAACACCACTGACCTGTCCCAGCTCCGGCTGCCGCAGACGTCGTGACCCAGTCACCGACCTATCCCAGCGTCGTGACCTAACCACCGACCAGTCCCCGCGTCGCGAGCGCCGCAGACGTGTGATCCAAGCTGCTACTCACCATTGCTACTTCACTTCAGCCTAGCGACCTCAGAGATTCGGGCATACTAGATCTCTGTTTTTGCTCCCACAGCCACCGAAGAGCACCACTGCTTACATGCCGCCCGTCGTCCTAGCCCAGGCACCGCCGTCGGCCTGCCAAAGAGTCACTCAAGGCACTGTCCCCCGCGCGACCATCCCAACTCGCGCGGCCTGCACGCTTCGCGTCTGATCCATGCGGTATCGCCCACTACTCACGCCGTGGCTCCGGACACCACTGATGCTGTGACCCAAAGTGCCACCAGCTGGCGCTATCACCAGCCCAGTTCGTCACTGTCCAGCCCGTTGTCAACGCTGGTTGTTACCCGTGGTGTCTTGCTGCTGTGCCGCGACACCCCCAGCTTTGTCGTGGGTCTTGGCTTCGGCTCTCTCTCTTTACACGGAGACCAACCCAGCTGTCCTCTTCTTCAATTGAAGCTCCGTAGTTGCTGAACCAAAGGCCATACAAGCCATTGTCGTCGGCCTTCATGAGGTCATTGTTGACGCCAACCACGCCGCCCTCTCAATGCGTCGTTGGTCGGTCTAGCCAGAAATTTCTCGGACTGATTTGGCTCTTGAAATACCAGTGCTCACGCTACTGCCAACCCGTCTTGGCTGTTCTCGGCGCCGGCTCTACCGATCTTGTTCTTTATTCCTTTAACTCACCATCGGCCCATCCTCTTTGTGTTGCTATTTCAGATTGCCGAAACCCCATTCCTGAATATATATATATATATATTTATGCTTTGAACTTTGATTTGCGAAATACATATTTGGAATTTTTTTTGCAATCTTGCCTATCTCCACTAATTCATTGTTGCTATTGGAAGTACTCATAGCACTGTTTTGTTGATTTGGGAATGATAAAAGCATTGTTTGCATATTATAACCTTTGAATTTGATATCCGAGGGGATGAATTTGTTGAATACTGTATACTCGGCAAATGAACTCTCAATTCTTAAATTTCGTGAACCTTTGCTTGGGAGAATAAAAAATGTCATTGTAAAAGAAATAGAGCCGTATATCATTGTTTGTTGTTGATCCAGTGGATGCTTGGGAAATTTTGTTTGAACAATGTTGTTTTACGTTAGCTTGAGAGGAACCGGCCCGAGGAGACAACACCTTGGTTGTTGCATTTTCACGAACTTGCTCGGAGGAGTAGAATTGTTGTAGCTTAAATAGACTATTATTATTTGTTGATATTGCCCTATTCCGATAATGTCTGAATCATGATATGAAATTGATATTGCTTATCTCATTTGTCGGTTTTACTATTTCAGGCAAATAAATTTTTGTGTGAAATCCACGACCCCGAGGCCTTCAGAATCTTCACTAATGAGAGCAAGGGCTGTCCTTCGAAAGTCTGAATGAGAGCAAAACTATCCCTTAGGAGTCCGAAAGTAGCATACACCTTTCTTCGGCAAGAAAGATCCTTCTAGATGGCAATCGAGTCTACCAAGCTTGCACCAATAGAAGTAAAGATTGTCTCTCAGAAGTCCGAGCAGAAGCAAGGCTGTCCCTCAGAAGTTTGAGCGGAAACAAGGCTCTCCCTCAGAAGTCCGAGTGGAAACAAGGCTCTCCCTCGGAAGTCCGAGTGGATGTGCACTTCTACTTTGGCAGCTATTGGAAGCAAAGGCTATCCCTCGGGAGTTCAAGTATGAGTCCACTCTACTTTGAAGAAAGATCCTTGGAGCTCATATTGATGAAAGCAAAGGCTGTTCTTCGAACCCACACTAATGAGAGCAAGAGTTGTCCCTCGGAAGTCCAAACAGAAGCAAGACTGTCTCTCGGGAGTCCGAAAGTAGCACACACCCTACTTCGGCAAGAAAGATCCCTCTGGAAAGCGACCAAGTCTACCAAGCTTGCACCAACAAAAGTAAAGATTGTCTCTCGGAAGTCTGAGAGGAAGCAAGGCTGTCCCTCAAGAGTCCGAATAGTAGCACACACCCTACATCAGTAAGAAAGATCTTCAAGACTTGCATTGATAGAAGCAAGAGCTATTCTTCGGAAGTCCGAGTGGAAACACACACTCTGCTTCAACAAGAAAGACCCTCGAAGCTTGTATTGACGGAAGTAAGGGCTATTCTTCAGAAATTCAAGTACGAGCACACACTCTACTTCAGCAAGAAAGACCCTCAAAGCTTGCATTGATGGAAGCAGTGGCTGTTCTTCGGAGGTCCGAGTGGGTGCAACACTCTACTTTAGCAAGAAAGACCCTCGAAGCTTGCATTGAAGGAAGCAATGGCTGCTCTTTGGAGGTTCGAGTGGGAGCACACACTATTTTGGCATCTAATGAAAGCAAAGTTTGTCCCTCTTTGAGTGGGAGTACACTTCTGCTGCGTCAAGAAAAGTCCCTTCAGGTTGGTAACCGGGTCTACTATTTCTCTTTCTTCTTTGAAGAGCAACAAAAATTAAAAACTGTTTCAAGCAACATAACACAATAAAGATATACAATGTAGAGAAAATAACTTCTAATGGAGATACATAATATGGAGGAAATAAATTTCTTCATGACATAAGAAAGATAGAACTTCTTAGATAATGCAGTAAATATAAATTGTAAATGTCATAGATAGACTTCTTCTACGGAATATTGACATTTGCCCCTAGAGTTGCAAGATCATTTGGAAAGCTTTCACCAGCTGCTCGGCTTGTGGCCATCATATGCCATCATAGCCATGTCTTCTAAGATATCTTGGGGCTCCTGTTCTTTGAACTCTATCTTATGTGCTTCGACTTTCTTTCTAAAGATCTTCTTAAGCATCCGGCACTTTTCTGTAGGATGTCCTAGTGATCGGTGGAAAACACAATAATTAGGACCCTCGCGATCCTTCTTCGGCAAAAGCTCTTCGACATGAGGCAACTTCAGTTCTCCGTCTGC